AGTGTATATTAATTTATTTAATGACACTTTTAATTATTAAATTGCATATTTCATAATTTAAATATTTATTTAATGTTTTAATGAAACATTTCATGAATTAAGTTTTTATTTAATTATTGCCGTATTTAATTAATTGTGTATTTATGCATTTAACGATGTAATGACACATTTAATTAATAATTATAGATTTCATTATTTAATAAATTATTTATTTAATGATATAATTAATTATTTATCCTGTCGCTCCAAACGCTCCACAGCACAGAGTCCACTGTGTCCTCCTGACAGYAGCAGCAGAACTTTGGTTTCATGTCAGTCTGCCTCGTCATCCTCACCGTGGTCTGCCTCACGATCAGGGTCCGCTGATGAAGAAGGGCCAGAGAGAGAGGGGGGTGCAGAGGCAGGCAGGAAGAGCGCAGTGAATACAGGAAGTGAGGTCAGGGCACAGAGTCCTCCCACTAATGGACTCCCCGTGGACCGGGTCCTGTTATCTCCTCCGAGCAGACCTTCCTCACAAATCCCCCCAGAACACAGAGTAAAGATCAGGGATCAGACGTGACACCGTCGTTCCAACATTTTACACTTTAATGTATCGTTCAGAGAAAAACAAACAAATGTTAGTTTGTTTTAAAGTTTTATTAGAAAAGCTGTTAATAAATAAATAAATGAATTAATGGATTTGACCCAGAATCCTCTAAAATTTCCAGTTTGATTTTATTATTTCTGGATATTTTGTGTATTCAGTTTCCCCTTTGGACAAGAAATCAATCCATCTGTTTTTAGTTTTGGACGGTTGTCTTCAAATAAAGATCAGATTTACTCATTTTTATAAAACATTAATCTAATAAAAGTTATTTAGATGCTTCTTCTCATCATCCGGTCCAGGTTCATGGGATCGTCCGACGTTCCAGTTCCTTTAACACGGGTCGCATCGAGCATCTGTACCAGAATCCACAGACACACACTGAAGGAAGTGAGTATCCCATTGTTTGCTTTACACAACTTTAGTACTGTGACAAATAAAGACTATACGTAATCCGTTTTATTCTGGCGCGTTTTTCAGCACGTACCTTGTTCAACAATTTAAACACCCAAATGTTCAGCTCCTTCAGGAAACTTCGGCTGTGACTTTTCAGCAAATTATCATTTTTCCATTCATGAAACGCTTTAACATGTTTAAACTTTACTGCTCTTTTGTTCTGGTTCTGCTTTTTGAACTTTGTGCTAATTTCAGCTTCTTTTTTGCTCATTTTATTTTTTCTGCTTTTTCAGCTGTTCTTCTGATTTAAACCTTTGTGTGCTTCTATCAGCTTATTTCTGCTAATTTAAACTTTTTATTCTTTATTTTAGCTGTTTTTGCAATTCAAGCAACTTTTTAGCTTTTTCAGCTTATTTTAGTTTTTTCTGCTAAATTCATATTTTTTGTGTTCTTTCATTTTACTTGTGCTGGGTTCAGCGTTTTCAGCTAATTTAATCTTTTTATGCTTCTTTTAGCAGTTTTTTCAATTGTAGCTACTTTTTAGCTAATTTTATTTTTTTCAGATCATTCACCTTTTGTAATCTTTTATCTTCTTACTGCTTAAATCAGCAAATGTTATTTCTGCTTCTTTGTGCTAGACTCAGCTTTTTCAGCTACTTTTCTATGAATTTCAGCYCTTTATACTTCTTTCAGCTGTTTCTTTGCAATTTAAGCTACTTTTGAACTATTTCAGCTAATTTCAGTTTTTTCAGCTAAATACACATTTTTGTGATTGTTCAGTTTGTGCATGATCTAGCTTTTTCAGCTAATTTGATTTTTTATGCTTCTTTGAGCTGTTTTTGTAATTCAAGCTAGTTTTTAGCTATTTCAGCTAATTTTAGTTTTTGTAACTAAATTAACCTATCTGTGATCTTTTAGCTTTTTACTGACTAATTCAGCTGACATGTTCTCTCTGCTTCTTTGTGATAGACTCAGCTTTTCCAGCTACTTTTCTGCTRATTTCAGCTTTTTAAAATTATTATTTTACAACACATTGCTAAATTTTTGTTCTTTTTTTAATAAATCTTTTAGCATTAAGAACTCACGCTGCGTTTAGCAGAAAATRCTGATAGTTTGCTTTACGTTACATTGGCCCCACATGCTGATGTTCTTGATAGTTAAATCTTTATTAATAAATAAGCAAACTGAAAAAGGCGTGGTTGTTTTAAAGACATGAAACTGCACTACGGAGACCTGACTGACAGCACGTGTCTGGTGAAGATCATCAACGAGGTGAAGCCAACGGAGATCTACAACCTGGGAGCTCAGAGTCACGTTAAGGTACGGAATCAACAAAACGCTACATTTCATAAATACCTGGTTGTGTTTTAAATTAAAACAAAGCCTCAGAGACCTCCAAGACACCTGGGACCGCTCTGATCCCGCAGGTAGGATGGGAGAGACTGAGCTACAACAATGTATACATACTGTATACAGCGGGTAAAATAAGTATTGAACACGTCACCATTTTTCTCAGTAAATATATTACTAGAGGTGCTAATGACATGAAATTTTCACCAGATGTCTACAAAGAAATCAAACCATAAATGTCCAGAAATGAAGTTTTTTGTAATAATGTGGAATGGCACAGGGAAAAAGTATTGAACACACTTCCTAAAATTTATCTAATAC